TAATTTGGGCTGTAATAGGGAGACTCAATTTTTTTTTAATGAAGCTCAAATCATGCTCTTTCGGAATCAAAACTTACTCGTATCTCAAATTTTTTCCCCCGACATCTGGTACCTCTTATCAGGTTGCATCATTTGACCTAAATTAGGTTTGATCTATTTGATAATGAAGTTAGAACTTGAAGATTTAATTTACTGATATTGATAACATTGACGCTACAACCACCGGATGACTTTGCAGGCCTCAAAAGACCAGGTGGTGTCATGTATGACACCAATCAGAGTTTCTCAAAGTATTGTCATTAATTTAAAATTCTAATTAGGTATACCAGAACCATTGATTATTGTCGAACGAGGCTAAAATTAGACCAGAAAGCCAGCATTAGATTAGATGAAGCATTAATTTTTTTAATACGTAGATTTAATACAGCCCACCATTTTTTACAAATTAAAAATAATTTTTTTGTAGGAATGCTTAGGATTGGTGTCATATTTGGTGACGCCACTTGATCTTTTAAAGCTTGTTACTCGAAATTTTTCTGTGGTGTCATACATGACGCCATCTGGTCGTTCGAGTGTTGAAAATATAATAGGACTCGAAACTGCATTCTTGAGAACCTTTTTCATAATTTAAACAAAAAGAATGCACCAATCTTATAATCCAAGATTATCGAGGTAAACGAAAATGAAAGTGAATGAACAAAAAGAACTTAGAACCTGAAACCCTGAACTTACTCTCGAGGCTAGTTTTGAAAGTGTAGACCTCAAACAGAACTCAAATTCTCAGACTGAGTTCTGCGGACAAAGAGACCTGCTCACTGAGAAAACCGGTTCTGCCTTAAATACATAGAACAGACATTTCGAGTGAATTTTTGTAAAATTGCTGAAAGGGCGAAATTTTTTGCCATTTAGAACGAATATCTATGCTCGGATGTAATAATGCGGATTTTGACGACTTGACGTAAAGTATTTCATTACAAAATGTGTACCACCATCTTTAGTTCAAGTCGTCAAACACTGAAGTGTACGTTTCAATGTTTGAATTTTCACAGCAAAACCTAATGGATTCGTGTTCTTGCAGGTGGGAGCCGAAAGAGACGTATCCTACGACCACGGCATCAAAGGCTCCATAGCCGAAGACTGTTATTTCGCGATGCACGCCTTTATGAAGGGCTACACGTTCAACTTCGTCGACGGCGAAATGCACGAGAAGTCGCCATTTTCCTTTTGGGACTTCATCCAGCAGCGGAAACGCTGGGTGCAGGGCATCTCGATGGTGGTGCGAGCCTCGGAAATTCGGTGGAAATACAAAATTATGCTGGCCTGCTCCCTGTACGCGTGGATTACGATGCCACTCACACTGACCAATATTGTGACAGGCTTCATTTTCCCGCTGCCGGTGCCCAACTGGCTCAACATTATGGCTCTCATGATCAGCGCTGTGAATATTTATATGTACATTTTCGGCGTTATTAAATCTATCTCAGTGTATCGACTGGGTTTGCTCAAATATGGCTTATGCCTAATTTCGTTGGTCTTCGTCATTTTACTATCGGCCATTCTCGAAAGTGTGGCCATCATAATGGCTTTATTTGGCGATAAGAAAAAGTTCTACGTCGTTAATAAAGACTGGATAAGCGACGGAACTCTGCAAGCAGTGTAGAAAAGTGTAAGAAAACTGGAATTACCGTCCCCTGTCGTCTGTATTGTTTGTTTGTTCACTTATTTTCTGTTATTTTTTAAACTGTATGAAAGTACTTATTGGTTGAATACTATGTGAATGCGTAAATTGTGGTCTCTAAACTTCATCTTATACATAGTTCTTAATATTTCTTCGATGTTCTATCACATTTTTTATACTTCATGTGAGTCTGCAGAAGTAAAACACCATTCAGCTTTTGTTAATTTGTATTTTCACTTTGGTAACTCGTGATCCGGATTTTTGAGAAGTCGATGAAATTAACGATCACAAATCGAACAGGTTTAGAATACCCAATTGTAAAAACCGTGAAAAATTTGCTTTTCTGGAAGTAAGAAGAGAGGGAGGTGTTGGGGATTGGCGATCAACTGGGATTAATATTTTGTTTCGCCCGCTGCCTCCATAAATTGTGGATTGTTTTGATACGGGCTTCGAGTATAGCACTATATGTATAACCACCAGGTGATGTCATATATAGAATACCTTATGGGTATGCTCCACTGGCTACTCGAACTCAACAACTTGGCTAGATCAATTTTATCAATGAATAATTTGTTACAAATGAAATGTGATGGAAAATAATATATCCACTTATTCATTAAGTTGAAATCGAGTCAGATCAACAACTTTCATCGATCTGTCTTCGATAAAATCACAAGAAACAAAAATATTTTTCTAAAAATACATTTTTGATACCTATTTTTAGCCAAATTCAACGATTTTCTGATATGTTAGAGATATTGGATAAACTTAGTGCTGCATGAATTTGGATTTATGTTGTAACTTTATTTTAATGAGCGGCCAAAGTTGGGCATTTTTAAGATGAAATTTCAGTCATAAAAAAATTGATGAATAAAAAATCTAAATCCATACAGCACTAAAATGAACATCAATCAACAACATGATGAAGTATTTTTGATTTTGGATGAAAATTCTGCTCAAAAACAGTTATCAAAATCTCATGATTGCTCAAAAATTGGACTACTGGAGCATACCCTTGAAAGACCAGGTGGGTTTCTTAAAGTATTGTCATGAATTTCAAGTTTTAATCATATAATATAGCTGAACCATTGATTATAGTCAAACGAGGCTACAATTAGGCCATGAAAACCTTCATTAGATTAGATGAAGTCTTGATTTTTTTTTAATGGATGTAATTTGGAACCCTTTTTTTCAATAAAAATTACTTTTTTCAGGAATAACTGGGACTTGTGTCATACATATATGAGTATGTCGCCGCCTGGTCTTTTAGGACCTGTTACTCAAAGTTTTCCTGTGGTGTTAGGATGGTATTGGTTAGCTGTCTAGAAATCCCTCTTTTTTAAATATTTGATTTTCGCATTTCCTTTTTTCTTCTGGGTTGAACTAACTG